TTCGTCAACTTTGTCAACTATGTCGATCATTTTGATCACATGACTTATCCGTAGCGCAGTCACGGATCACGGTTTCAACGTATATAGGTATATTATTTTATTTCATTCAAAATCTATTATATTATCTAATTTTCTTTTAATCAGAGACGGTTGGGCTTTTGTTTTAGACAGATGCCAATAATTTAATGTCATTCTCAGGTATAGTTGTGAGAAATGGAGGACGAAAATATAAGATTTGTATTTCAAAAGTCTTTCTGCATATAATCATACCGAATCTATAGATATCAATAGCTGTAATATAATTTTATCCTAGAAAAATCTTAGGAACCATAAAGGAATAGTTCCATAAATCTTATCATTGAGCTGAAGATTTACATATTTCCTAATTCGCTTAATATCGCAGGATGCAAACTAGTTGGTATAATAAATTTTTGATTATGATAATACAATTTTTATTCTAATCAAAATTTGCAATGAAATGATCCAATTAAACTGATTCATAATAAACATTAAATCTTCTGTGATCCTATCACGGGAATTTATAAAATAAAATAATATATATTAATAATTAAAATAAGCATTATACCTTATTTAACTCTTTAAGGGATATATTTTAGAATTATTTAGTTTTTATTTATTGAGTACAACTATTTTTGGTTTACCATTTACATATAAAACAAAGAAATTTAATCGATATAAATTCCGTACCGTATCTTAGATGCACAAGTGATGATTATGTTAATTTTGTTAAGCTTTTAATAGAAATTATGCGAAACATCGTTTCATATTTTAAATAAATCGATATAGCGTGGTCAAAAAATAATCATTTAGAAACTTTGAATATTCATTTTCATCACGTTTGTTTAAAAAATAAATTTGTAATAAGTCAATACCATTGAAATTCTTTAAATTTATTTGGATTATGTTTGTAATATTACAGTTTAATATATAAAGATTTATATATATTATAAATTCAATTGTTTAATTTACAGCAAAGGTTTGTAAGAGTTCAGGGTAGATACGCATTAAAGAATTAGGTAAATTTGGCAATCTAATGATCTTAATATTTTCACAGTTAAGATAAGTTAAGGTGTTTGGTAAAGTTGGTAAGCTAGTAAGCAGAGTATAACGGCAGTAGAGTTTTTGTTAGTGAGTTTGGTAAAAATGGTAAGCTAGTTATTTGCGTATAGAGCAATTAAGAGTTGTTACGGTGTTGGGTAAGGTTGGTAAGTTAGTTATTTGAGTGATGGAGCGATTGAGAGATGTTAAGGAATTAGGTAGAGTTGGTAAGCTAATTATTTGAGTAACCGAGTTGGGTAAGGTTGGTAAACTAGTTATTTGAGTTTCAGAACAGTTGAGAGTTGTCAAGGAGTTAGGTAATGTTGGTAAGCAAATTAATTTATTATTTTCACAGCGGAGTACTTACAAATACGATATCTTTGTAACCTTATTGAGGTGTTTAATATATTATAATCATTTGTATCTGTAATAGTTAAAGTACTAATAGTATCATCATAAATAATATCTAATTCTAGGTTTTAGATCTTTTCTTGCAATTCTACATGCTTGGTTTTATCATCGACTTCTCGCCTCCTAATCTGTTTTCTAAATAATAATAGATTCTTGCTCGGTTTTGATTTCGTTTTCTTGTTCTATAATCTTATTTTTTAAAATATCAATAGTTTCTTGTTCGGTTTTGGTAGTAAATTCTCGTTCTATAACCTTTTCTTCTAAATATTTGCATTTCGACCTTAACTTTGATAATTCCTTTCCGGCTTTTGTTAAAAAAACATTTAAGTTTTGAATATCTTGATTTTCGTTTCCTTAATTCAACTAAATTTTTGTCCCGTCAATAATGCTTTTAAATTTTCCAAATCTTTAACTCCTAATCCATCCCATAATAAGGTGAGTACCAACTGATTGTCTTTGTCAGATTTCTCTAAATCCTAAATTCTTTTTTTCAAGTCTTTCGAATTTTCTTTTCAATACCATTTTAACGATTTATCCTTTTAATATGGCAAATGTTTATGTTGTTATTATATTTATTCAACGATGTCTCGACGTTATATTCGTTTTATTGAACTATTAATTCAAGTTCTTTAATTGAAAACTATAAAAGAAAATTCGGCAGTCCGAAGCAATCGAGCCCGAAAATTAAAAATTAAAATATGTAAATGTAAAAATCCAATATAATGGAAGACAAATAACAATAGAAAAAAATCTACCAATTTTCGGTAAAAAAAGTCGAAGCCAATAATGAGTAAGCTCCTACCTATTAACAATCGACGGATGCAATCCGAAGGTACCTAATCAAAAGAATAATAATCAATAAATAATCAAATCCAAAAAAGAATACATAAAAGCAAACCTGAACAAAAGAAATCGTTTAAAAAAAAAAGTTATTGAGTATGACGCAGTAATTTGCGTCGTATTTAATTTATGCAGATTGAAATATATATTTTATAAATTTACAATCAAGAATATTCAACTCAAGTTCGCGCAAATACATTTTATTTTAAATGTATTACTTCTCATTTTTCGAATTATATTCCGGTTATCAATTTATGGTAGTTAATTTGAGATTAATTATATTCTCAAAATTATTCGTATGATAAAATCCAAATAAAAATTAGTTAATTTCCAAAACCTTTTCTGCGCCTCTTGCAACGCTTCGTGTAACAAAAAATTTATTGTAGAAACATCGCATGAAATATGTAGACAATTGATTTTTCTGTTAAGCTTAAATCTTATTTGAAAATTTTTTTACATAAATAGATGCTTGCTGATATTTATATTATTTTCTCATGAATATCTGTACGAAACGTTTGTAGGAAAGTTAATTGAAGTTTCGTGCATGCTTAAACTAATCAAAGACAATATTGTACTTTGACCGATCTGATTGCTTAATTTGATGAAATGTGACACAAATATAGTTAAAATTAAAAATTAAAAAATAAATAATAAAACTTAAGCGTTTTCATTTGTTAGTAAAACCTTTCTAACTATTTCCATTTAATTAAATACATTTGATTCTTAAATTTCGCACCTTTCACAGAAATAGAAATTCCACATTAGAATGGCTTATTATAACTATAAAAAAGATATGAATCTAAGATTTTCACTAACTCCTACATGACTGGCTGGTCCAAAGACGTTTTTCCATATTATGATCAACATTGTATTCATTAAATACTAGAAGTTCTACTGAAACATAAATATTTTTCTATTCACGTTGGATTTTTCGATTTTCTCATAATGCAAGAGATTGTCCGTGTAACAAAAATTTCATAATTATTTTCGCATGTAATATATTTTTATATATATATATATATATAAGTTGTTTGTTGAAACTTTTTAAAAAATTGTAAATTATAAATGAATTGTTAATTATAATACTTACTAGGCGCGTTATTAACTATCTACTATATAATTTAATGTAAACTCGTTGACATAAGTATATTTAATGAGAAAGAAGAAGCTTCCGCTTATTGGTGAGTTGGTTTATTCTAATATCATATATAATTCTTACCAAAGTTTAATTGTTATCGCGAAAAATATATATAGAGACATGATTATAATAAAGTTTTATAGTTGTTTACTCAAATCTCATTTTTATTGTAGTGCGTTTTAATTGTCCGAAGCGTAGCGGAGGAATATTATGTACACCAAGACCATTGCAATGTCTGTCTGTCTGTCACTATGTGAAAATGCCCAAACAAATTTCGAGATCAGGTGTAACAATCAATATTTGCATGATCAGGTGATAATAATAAAAAATTAAAGTTACATTAAATTATTTTTTTGTTTTATCGTTTCGGACTCCCATACCCTAGTATTATTAGTATACAGTGTATAACTTTGATAAATAATTAACTTATTAGCCTAGATATAAGAATAGCAAATTAATAATCCAAAAAAAACTACTTAGTTCATAATCTCATCAAACGGGCGCTTTGATCCACTATTATCCTCTGCTCATTTTTTTTTGATTACCGCATATTTTTTAAAATGTTAAATATGAGACTTCTGTGGTTGTAAAATTTATAATTGAATATGCAATTATAGTATATCATAACGCTTTCGGCCTGAATATTCAAACTTATTTTAATCACACTTTAAATCACAATCTCAAACCTCACGAGAAGGATAAATAGTAAATGAAATTAATGATTCTTTATTAATTCTGAATTCTAAAGATAAACATTATGATGAGTTTTCTTTCAAATACAAGATATTTTATACAAATTAATAAAAAAATTAATATAATTAACTATAAAAACCATAAAATAAATAAATAAAATAAATATATTCATTATCATACGTAAGTTTTATCATGTGATATGAATTGATCATCAAATTTAATTTTTGTACTAGGATAAGATTTAGATGTTTGACTTGATATATAATGACTCATGCAGCCATGCAGATCTGTATTGCCTTAACTTCTTAAATAAAGCATACGAAAAAGCCTAATTTTAAATAAGTAAATAATAATCACTTAAAATTCTTTTCATAAAGTCACAAATAGTTAACCAATGATGCTTCGTGCGATGCGAAAATATGCAAAAAAAAAACTCAAACACTATAGCTAAAAAATGAGATATTGTTTTTTCTCTTTATAGTAAGCATTCGCATTCCACAACATAAGGCTCCAATTTTGGACTCCATTTGAGCAAAAAAATAATATAAACCTTTCGTATAATTTCGTTATATCTAATTGCTAAAATATTCAAATTACCAAAAAGATAATAATAATGAATCTTTTTAATAATTATATATTTTTCTCAATTATTTCATTGATGATATTACCAATAAATTCACAAATTTTTACATATGAAGAAATGCAAACTGAAAATGCCAGCGACAGTGCACCCACTATATATAATATGGTTAGTTTTTATGATAACACGATAGTCGTTCATATCATTCGTCAAGATAAATCAGTCCCTGTTGAAGATGGTATACTGTGGGTAGATAAATACTTGTCAATTCGCATGATATATCCTGGTGGGAATGTGGTACCAATTGATATTAAATTGGATATACAAGATTTTAACTTTCGTCTTTTGGACGTTAATGGAAGACTTGTTAGCGCTATTGAAATTTTTCCTGTAAGAAGTAACTTTCTGTTAGTAACTTATACGGAAGCCTCGGATCTAGATGACCCGTATACTTATAATGATTGGGCATTGATAGTTGATTTAAATGGAAAGATATATAGGTCAGAAAATTCAAATTTTGCATAAGCATAAAATTTAACTACTTAAGTTTATGTAATTAATTACAACTTTCATTGTTTAGTAACATTTCATTTGGATCTGCATACATTAATGTTGCCACAAATGAATGGTTGCCTGGTCGAGCCGAAATTTTTATAAATTTTAATCCTGACAAGGGATTTCTTCGCTTGGCACCTGTAACAAATACTACAAATTATATCTGGCAGCAATACAGCATGTAATTAATCTTTAAATTAATTAATTTATAACTTAACTTACTTACTTTATTTTCTTTCTAATTTTAATAAAGAACCGAAGAGGGAGAAGACAACTTACTTGCAAATGGAATATTACGTTTTTCAGATAGTTCTAGTCATCTAATTACAGCCATTCCAATGGTGGACGGAAGATACGCAATCATTTATGCTAATTCTACTATTGATTCCACACTCTGGTACCCTTTTGATCTACGTGGAACAATCTTTGCGATATTTTTGGAATATGGCTCAAATACTGAACTTAAACCTTTTATTCTTTATCAAACTTCAATTCCAAATACAAGATTTACTTATATTGATTGCGATGTATCTTACGTAGAATTTGGGCAAATATGTGTTGTAACAAGTGAATATACACACCAAGAAATTATAAACAAGTCTTATTTAAATATAAAATTTCTTTCGTCAGGAGCAGTTGTAAATTTTGTTATTCCATCGATGATTGATTTTCAGACGAGTTTATGTAGTATTGATCAATATTATATTCAATCATTACCATATGGAGGTTATTTATTAAGTGGAACTCAAAAAATTGGCGACAGGGTTGCTATTGTTGGTTATATTTTTAAAGACTTTAATGAAATATTTGCTTGGAACCTTGCAAATCCTACTATGTCAAACTTTTTAGGAATTTCTACAATTTTGAAAAATAATACTTATGTACTTGCTCAACCGGGAGGAAAGCAAAATTGGTCCTTGATTACCACTGAATTGTTTCAATTTGAGAAAATAAAAGGTAAAGTGACAATTCTAAAAAAGTTAAATTCAATTTAAATTTTAAATTTAACCATTACAATGTTCGAATTTATTAATATTCTAGAACATGGATATGACAATTTACTTATCGATGACACATTTCCGAATAGAAATGTTACCATCCGATCAGATATAGAATCCCTTGAGATAAAATATTATGACCAAGTTGAAATTTCAAATGGTAATATTACAATCTTTCAAGATGGTGGGAATTTGCGTCAAATCGTTTCAGGTAATGACGCCAGTTATGTAACACTTAAAGATGGGAATAATATTTTTGTTAAAATAATCCAAAGCACTTTTAATAAACCTGGCAGATACTATGTTTTAATTGGATATGGTTTTGTTAAGAATAAAGCTTTACAAGAGCCGCTCTATGGTGTAAAGGAACATGTGTGGTCTTTTACAGTTGGTAAGTGCTATATTTCTCTCATTCCAAATGGAATCAAAATTATTTATACATTTACCTTTCCAAAATAGATTCTGAAACAAAAACAAGTTCTGGTAGTGTTATGGGGCAGGTTCGATTGTCTCCAGAAGGGACTACTTATTTTGGCAGACTTAACAATATCGAACGAAAGGATTTTCACGAGAAATTAAGACAAGACTTGGCTAATGCAATTCCTGTCGATATAAATCGTGTAACGAGTAATGAAAAAACTGAAGTTGACACGAGTCAATACGTTTTATCGATTAATATTTTACATGATGAAAACAAGCAAGAAATACCGACAAGTTTAGCAATTAAAGATTTAGATATTTTGATTAAAAATAAATTTATCACCGCCATTGCATACGGTGAAGCTTCAAAATATTTAGATGAAAGTTATGGATATAAACCTAATTGTAAGAATTCATTACCTAATCGAGTTTTTTTTGATGTAGAGAATTATTAGGAAAAAACTAAATTATATTATATAAATTTTGAATTTGTGAAATAGCCAATCTGTGGAAAACTTATGGGCATCCTTTCATTATAGTATTGGTATTCGTGTTCCTATTGATCTTACTTTACTTGTTGGCTAAACGTTTAAGTAGTGAGGTATATATTAGTTGAAGGGCAACCCCTCTTGGCAAACTCGAAACTTTATGTATATTTGACGGGTTTAAGATTTTACTGATAGTTAAATACTAAAATAAATTTTTTATTTAGGCAAAAAATATTAAAATTTTATACTTTGTACTTATTATATTTGATTTTGTTATTGATGTCCTATTCGTTCTTACAAAAGTAAAAAACGTTGATGGATTATTTATCCCAAGGTAAATAATCATTTAAATATAAACTTCTTTTTAAATAATTAGTAAATTTATTAATAAAATCTATTCCTTTAAAGTGTCACCATCGTTGTTGCTTCATTTATTATAAATTTCGGATGGATATTTAACATTATAAAGCAAGAAAACGAAATTGAAGAATTTTCTGAATGGTCAAAAAATAATTTGCTAATTATATCATTATTCACATTATTAGCAGGAGCTGATGTTGAAGTTATAAGCTTACTCGAATCAAAAATTGCAGGGTATTCATTTTTTAATGCTAAATTTTCTGAAGCGGCACTAAGTAAAATATTTTGGGGAAATTGCATTAATTTATTCATTGAAGACATTCCTCAAGTAATTATTCAGGTATATATTCTCTTTAGTTATCTTTGTTATATTTTTCTACTGAATAATAACTAGAATACTATTGTTAATTAAAGATAATTTACTACAGAGAAGTAATCTTTTATACTTTTATACCCATGTTTGCACTTTTGTTATCTGTCGTAACTTTAACAATTAATATTATTAAAATTATTGGAAGATTATATGTTTTATTTAAATTATTTAAATCGAAAGATCATAAATATGAAGAAATAATTGGGAATTCAAATAGTGATTACAGTAATATAATTGATAAGGATGATGACAATTTGGGTGGATCTATTGATGAATGTGTTTTTTAAAATTAGATTCTTGTCCATTTTTTTTTAAGTGTGAATTTTTTTAAAGAGTATTTCTAATTGAGTAAGTCGAAATAAAATAAAGACGATATAATAAACTGTAAATTTTAAATTAAAATAATTATTCATGTTTAAAAATTATTTATAAAAAATATTTCAATGCAGTGAAAATCTTTGTGGATTTACAATCACCTGTTGTTTTGGTACGACCGAAGTTTGGCGTCTCATTTTATAGACATTCTTACTTTATTTATATTGTTTTGACATAAAATTATATTTTACAAATTATATCACCCTGCGTACATATCCTAATATTTAATTATATTATTATATTGATCTTTATTAAATTCAATTTTAATTGTTATATAATGAGGTGTATCTTTGGTATTTTTTTTAATATTAATATTCGGAACCATGCTAGATTATTTGATTTATCGTGAAATATTGAAACTTAAATTAATTATCATGACGGATTACAAGGAAACTAGATATCATGTCGAAAACTTAAATTCCTTTTGGAACAACTGCCTACTGTTCAATTCATGAAGGCAACCAACCAGCTCTCTACTCTTCTGCTTGGAAGTGAAGAAGATTTTAATCATATTTGGACATATATATTTTTTTGAAAGTCATCCATAATTGCATTTCACAAAGATAATGGTAAGAATATTATAATCATGTCGTAAGATTGTAAACGTAAATTTTATAAATAAATAAGAAAGTAGTAATTTCAGGTTATTGAATAATAAAATTTTTATGTTTGTCATGATAAACAAACAAAAATGAATCGATAACTAATAATCAAGAAGTGGAATTCAAAGCATGTACAAATTATAATTAATATTTTTTATAAAAACTAAATAGAAAATAGTTTACCAAGTAAAAAAATATATATACCACCGAAATATTATTCGATAATGGCGAAATATCAATTTATCATTAAAAAATCTGCATAGAAATATAAATGAATTTCTCTTTTAGCAATTATATCATGTTATTAATAAATTTATATGAAATAGAGGAAAATTATATTAAATAATCACAATTTCTATTTTTATAAGAAAAATAGTTACGATTGAAGAAGACTTAATTACTAGAAACCCCAAAAGACTTCAAATGACTCAAATGACTGGTCATGTGTCATTTCAACATTAAATGACAAATGACCTAAGTCTACATTATCCAATAATTTAAAGGACTATATCCAATAAAATGTTCTAATAGTTTTTTTTTATATATAGCCTTCTGTTAAAATTTTGTCGCAAATAAATATTAAAATCAAAATAACCTTGTGCCATAGTAGCACTACATTAATCTATTTTCTCTTTTTTGCATAATCCTTGTGTGGTAGATTATTAGCACTATTTAGCATAATAAAGAATGCCTAAAAATAGGGATGTTAAATTGCTTCAACAAAGCATATTTAAACTGAGTATAAGCACAAGCTTTTTTCAACTAGCTTTAAT